AGCGCGGCGCTCCCCCAGCGCTGACCCTCCGACAGCGCGGCGCTCCCTCAGCGCCGACAGCCCAGTAAAGATGTGTGACCCATGGGTCAGAGAACGACTGACCGAGTTGATGTCTGGATGGAAGCTGAGAGATGTGTGCTCACCTTAATCCCCACGGCGATGCCCTTGTCTTTGACGAGTTGCGGAAATGGCGTGCCATCGTCGGTTTTCTGGTACAGCGTCTCGTGGAAGAATATGATTCCCCCGATGCAGTCGCTGATGTCGCCGTTCGCGGTGAACAGAACCTGCCGGAAAAACCGACGATTCTCTTCTGTGTTCTCCACGTTGATGTTCTTCAGACGTTTGCCCATGGTGCCTGGGGGCAGAGCAGAACATGGGGTCATGGGGGCCAATGATGGGGGGTGCTGGCGTGGTGATGAGAAGGAGCCACCTTCTCTATCCCAACACCGTGTCTAACCCTTTGTTGCCCGCTTCCTCCGGTCTGCATCATCATCTTCTGTGGCCGAACTCTTATATCTTAAGGCTTGCTTCACAGGTAATCTCGAATACGAGCTTCTAACTCATTGGAGCAGACTTAGGCCAGTTGGCCCAGCCGGCCTGTTACAACATACAAAATAGGAGCAGGAGTAGGCCATCTGGCCTCTTCAGCTTGCTCTGATATTCAATAAGATCATGGCTGATCTTTTTCGTGGGCTCAGCTCCACTTACCCAACGGCCAACCATAACCCTCAATTTCTTTACTGTTCAAAAATCTATCTTTCTTTGCCTTAAAAACATTCAATGTGGTAGCCTCAACTGCTTCACTGGGCAGGGAATTCCATACATTCACAACCCTTTGGGTGAAGAAGTTCCTCGTCAATTGAGTCCTAAATCTGCTCTTATTGTGCAGCTCTGCCCCCTAGGTCTGGTTTTACTCGCCAGTGGAAACAACCTCCCTGCTGTTATCTGATCCATTCCCTTCGTAATTTTATACGTTTCTCTAAGATCATCCGCATTCTTGTAAATTCACATGAGTATAGTTCTGTCAATAAACAAGATCGTGGCTGAAAAGACTGAAGCCTGAATTTCACTCTCCCTCCTGCATCACCCAATAGGGTCGTGCTCCAACTTTGAATCTACCTCTGATCCGTGGAATCAAAGCATGAACCCCTGACAGATAAATTCTCCTCACCCTTGTCTCAAATCTCGAGCTTGGTTCGTCAAGGCTGAGATAGTCAGATTTTCAAGTCAGTCAGTCATGAGGAATCGAGTGGGGAAAGGGCAGGAAAGAGAGGTTAAGGATTATCAGATCAGACACAATTTTGTTAAATGGCAGATGTACCCAATGGGCTGAATGGCCTACTTCTTGCCGGGGCGCATCTCTGTAACCTGCTCCAGCCCCCACACCCCTCCCTATCTCTGTAA